GTGTTTGAGCATTTCATTAGAAATCAGTGTTGGTCCTGTTGCTTTTTTGTTTGGTGCTAAGTTGATTGTATTAGTTATTTCTTGTTGGGTTATAGGGTCTAATAGTGTGTTGTACCATGAGGGAGTATGTTAGTTTTGGGGTTCAAAATAGTTGTTAATAAAAAAATATCAAAAGATATATAAATAAAATGTAAATATATATTGTGATGTTGGAAGAAATAAGAGTTTATAATATCAGAAAAACTTGTTATAATGGAAGTCAAGATAGTAATAATTAATTTTATTTTAATTAAAAGATTTATCTAATAGGATAATAGAATTTATATAAAATTTAATATTATATTAAATAGCAATTTTATTAGCAAAATAATGTTAAAGAAATATAGAATTATTTGTACAGTTTGAAGAATAATATTTAATTTATATTTCTCAAAAAGGTTAAATAAGATAATGTTTAAAAAAGGTATATTATCTTCTGTAAGATTGCTTACTATATGTTTAGCTTATATAGCTGCACAGAATACTATAGCTTGGTTATGTTTTTTCCTATAATATGCTATATATTTATTTTACTTATTTTATCTAGATAAAAAAAAAAGAATGAAAAACAAATAAATCTTTTTTGCATAAAGCAAGAATTACTAAGAAGATCAAAAAAATAAAAACTAAAATAAATATTAGATGTTTTTAAGAATTTTTATTATTTTACTATATGATTATTCATTATATATATTGTTATAATCTAAAATAGGATTGTTAACATATCATTTAAGTTAGATTGTATAATAAAATAATAATATATAGTAATTATTAGATATAGCACATATATAGAGAATAATTAGTAGATATAGCATAATTAGCATAATTAGTAGATGTAGTGTAATTAGCATAATTAGTAGATTTAGCATATAAAGTATAAATAAAGAAATTAGTATATATAGTGTAATTAGTACAATTAGTGTATATAGCATAATTAGTGTAATTAACATATAAAAAAAAAGTATATAAGCAATGCATTTATAATATAAGAAAGACAAGTTTTGCAATATAGTTAATAAAATATATGTACTCTTAGTACTTGCCCAAATCCAACACCTCTTTTGAGTACTAAACTATCTGACATTATGTGAAAGACTTTTGTTTACCCTATGAATAGAGAATTTTACAGTTTATATTTTTTGTAGTACAACAGTATATATAGTAAGTATTTCTATATAAATATCATTTATCTAAATATATTTATTTTTATAAAAATAGTTCTTTTTATAAACTCATTTTAAGCACTTTTTATAAGAGTGCAATAATATATAATTATACAAATAAAAGGTTTAACTTTTATCTATACATCAATATATATGTTTAATTTTTGCTCAGTAAAGTTTCTATAATATTTCTATAAATAATTCATATATTTTTAGTAAATTATCCACATTATTTCTATGATTTAATAAAATTTTTTTATAACTTTTTCTTTAATTATTATATAAATTTCAGTAAAATCTTTAATTAATTTCATAATTCAATTCAAATTTGTGCATAAGTTTTAGTAATATTTTAATATAATTTCTGCTATTTTGAGAAGCTTGTCAACAAAGTGATGAAGCAATCATTATTGTAAGATCAGATGACTTTATAATAGATTATATACAATATTTGTATGTATATCCCTTATAGAGTAAGCAAGTTGTTATATCTTGTACATACTTTGTTAAATTCAAGTATTTTTGAGAATAATGTTAGGATAAAATCTGAATATTCAAAATTGGTTATCTATAAATTGAGATTAAGCAATAGTTATAATTTGTAAACTAAATAAAGAATAATGAAGTTTACATTTGAATTATATATAGGCTAGAGAAAATAGATAATCAGTTTAGAGATAATATATTTAAGTATTGTTTTTTCAAGTAGATGTCTTTATTTTTTTGTTCACTATTGCTTGTCCAGTAGTTAGAGCTGGCTTCATCATTATAAGTGCCTAATTATTTTAAATACAATTAAATAAATAAATAACCATTAACTTATACACTGTAGTATTTCATAAGTTATATATAATGTTTAACCAAAACTAGCAGCAATGTCTTTTATTAATTGGACAAACTTAATAGTTAAAGAACTACAAGACCTTTGTATAATATATAGAATTTCTACTAGTAGTAATAAGAAAGCTTTAGGAAAAAGATTGTAAGGATCATTTGAAAAGAAAAAAGAAAGTTACTGAAAACACATCAAGAAAATAGTGTTGAATTGGAAGAGTTTCCAGAAAAGAGAATAGAAGAGCTTAATAGTAGAGTTTTTGAAAATAATAGAGTAGTTGATCTCAAAGGTGATGTTTTGGAAATATGTTCTTAAAAAGCTGATTATAGAATAGATAAAGAATTTGCTACACACTTTTAAAAAAAAAAAAGAATTAATGCAGTTCTGATTGGCATATTTATGTTAGCCTTGAACAAAATAAAGAAGAAGATGGATAAAAACTTCTCTGTTTTGTACAAAAAGATGAAAGAAGAAGAATTATTGGAAAAGTCATAGCCAGTGTTAAATTATCAAAACCATGTGACTAGCATGAATATGACTTTTTATCTAAAATAGGCAAACAGTTAGATAGAGTAATTAAAGTATTATCAGTATCTAATAGAAAATAATTTACTAAAATTAGGAGGAAATAGAAACCCATGCAGTAATGCTAAGGTTAGCTAATAACAAAGACTAGAGTACTGCCTTACAAATAGTTGGAAACAATGATAAAATAATAGAATAGTATAAAGACTGAATTCTAGTTGTTTTTCAGCTATAGTTGAAATCTTGTTTTTGTAAGTGAAAATATGATAGTAGATCTAGATACAATTAGAATAAGTAAAGACTATTTATTAGTAATATCATCTAATTTAGAAGAAAATAACTTGTATTAGAAGACTAAAAAAAAGAAAAGATGGATTAATTTCTTTTATAACAAAGGAGAATATGGTTGGGCAGAATAACAAGATTCAGTTGCGTGCTTTAATTGTAGAGAAATCAGTCATATTATTTTAAATTGTTCTTTTGCAAGTTTAAAAGCTTTTATTAAACCCAAAAATAGGAATTAACTACATTCAAAACTCTTCAAATGAAAATTTGACTAATATGAAAACAAAAAATATATCGATAGAATAACAGTTGTAAGAAAAATGCAAACTATAGAGGCACTAAGTTACTGAAAAAACAAAATAGCCTCCTTTCCAATAGTTATAAATTGGCTAATAAATGAGATTCTCTTATTTCTAAGAGATGTTTTGGTACTTGCTGCATAACCAGTTCCAAATCAGTATTCATTTACAATAGAACAAAAAGAATAGGTAGAAAAAAAAATAAATTGGTTAATAAGAATATCAGCAATTAGTTGTTTAGAAGACCAAGTAAAAAAACCTAAATATTTATTAGAAGTAAGTCCAGTATTTTTGGTTCTGAAGAAAGATGCCAAGAAATGAAGATTGGTAATTAATTTAAGAAGATTGAATTCAATTTTACCCAAAATAAAGGTTTAATTAGAAGGTTTAGAAGATTTACTTTAGACAATAGGAAGGAAATAATATATAATTATGTGAAACCTAAAAGAAGAGTACTATCATATAATAATGAGAGAAAATGCTCAGCATTTTCTAGAGTTCAGAGTAATAAACAAGTAATATTACTTTTGATTCTCCCTTTTAGGCTCTCACAAGTAGTATGAATTTTCTCAAAAATTATGAGATTAATAGTTAGGCATTGGAAGTCACTAGGCTATATTGTAGAAATTACTTGGTGATTTCTGGCTAGCTCACCCTTCATCAGAAATCCTAATTATGATAAGAGATCAAATAATAAAACTGAATATAAAAAAATGTGACTTAATAAGAGAGACATCAAAGAGTCAATAAACACCATCACAATAGGTAAGGTTTTTTGGGTTAATAATAGATATAGTGAAGGCAGAGGTAATAGTTTCAGAAGACAAGATTGTGAAGACAGAAAAATTATTAAATGAATTAAGAGAAAAAGAAAAGGTTTCAGCTTGAAAGTTGGCTATAATAGCAGGAAAATACAATTATTAAACAAAGTATTTATTTATGCTAAGGTTCATTGTCTAGAATTCTATTCATTAATAGATGCAGTCAAAAAAGAGTATAAGAATAAAACTCTCTGGTTTATATAACAGAACAAGTATGAGAAGATGCAAGATAGATAACTCAGTACTTAAAAAAACAAAATGAATGTTCAGTCTGAAAGCCATTCAAAGTAAAACAGATACTTGTCAATACTTCAACAATTAGTTAGATGGCAATTTTCAGAAAACACAAAGCCTTCAGAAATTGAACTCAAAAAAGTTACATTAAAAGATCATCAGATTAGAAACAGAAGCAGTAATTTTGGAAATAAAATCATTTGCCAAGCTTCTAAAACACTTCTAGATCAATTTGCATATTGACAATTGAGATGCTATTAGCACAATAATAAAAGAAGGCAAGCTCTTGTGGCAGAAAGACCTGTTAAGAAGACTCTAAATTCAATTGGATGAATATGATATATATATTTTGGATTCCTTTAGAATTAAACCCAGCAGATGCTCTAATCAGATACATAAACCCTAATGATTGGTGCCTAGAACAGTCAGTTTTTGAACTTATAGAAAAAAAATAAAAACCTCATACCATCGATTATATAGCAAATTACCAAAATTTAAAGCTTTTATGTTTCAATAGTTATTATTATTGTCCTAACTCTGAGAGGATAAATTGTTTTACTCAGAATTGAAAAAAAGAAAACAACTATATATGCCCTTCCTTAGACCTTATACATCATGTACTACAACACATTATAGAGAAAAAAGCAGTAACAACAATAATAATTCTCAGATGGGTCTCTGCAGAATGGTGGCCAATTCTGTTACACAAAAAAACAGACTTTCTAGTATTATTATCTTACCAAATAGTATTCATAAGAGGGTTTTCAGACAAAATAGAACTATGAAAGAATCTCAGTTGGCAGTTCTTGGCAATAAGAGTAGGTTAATTAGTATGTTAATTATCAGAACTCAAACCTTGCATAGGAAATCAGTATCTCAAAACTGGAATTAGTATTTGGATAAAGCTTGAAGTTATATAAGAATTATTGTAATTTAATAGGTTTAGAAGCATTATCATTAAAGGTAGATATGCTTCTCTTCTTCATTGTTTGACTTGACCTTACTCATATCTTTGTGAATTGTACAGATGTTTTGACTGCAGTTTCAAGAAAGCATCTAGAGACACAGCTCCTAGACCTGTCTAAGAACTATAAAGTCAAAAAAGTTTTTAAGACACTCTTAAAAGAATATAAGAAAGCAAAAGACCTAAATGGTTACATAACCCTCTTCCTGTTTATGTATTAAAATGCTTTGTTAACAATAAACTACAATTTATTAGTAAAGAGTTCTGGATCTGTGATGCAACATTGATAGCTATAGGTTGAAGAACCATGCGATGCCCTTGTAAGTAAAATGCGACTTAGAGATATTAAGCTCAGAAAGAAATTGTGTTAGATCTGAATAGTTTTCTCTAAAACTGATCAATTTAGCAATAAGAAGTTTATCTCTATAGAATACTTAGATAACTATTACTACCCAGTCAGATTACTAAATAAGTGTTTATAAATAAGACTGAAGACTACTGATAATAAGTCTCTTTTTTTGTCAAAAGATAAAAAACAGCTCATAGTCAAGACATAGGAGCTATTGTTAAGTGAATTACCAAAAATGCAAGTATTCAGGGCCATTTTTACTGTACATAGCTCAGAACTGATAGTGCCACAACTACTATGAAGGCAGGCCTATTTCTTATATAGATATATGCAATAGGTGGTTGGAATAGTAAGGCAGTAATGTTATATTTAAGATCAGTTAAAACTGATAAATTACAAATTTCTAGAAAAATGGATTTTTATTAAAATAATCTTCTTTATTTTCTTATATGTTATTTCATTGTTTTATATATATTAATAAAGTATCTGATCGAGCATTAATAATGAGAGACTTGTCAACAAAGTGACAAAATGATCATTATTGCGAGATCAAAAGACTTTATAGTAGATCATATACAACATTTGTATGTGTATCCCTTATGGAGTAAGTGTGTTTTTATGTCTTGTATGTACCTTGTTGGATTCAAGTATTTTCGAGAATGATGCCAGGATAATATATGAATATTCAAAATTGGTTAACCATGAATTAAGATTTAGTGGTAATTATGATTTGTAAGCTAAAGAAGGATAATGGAGTTTATATGTGAATTACACATAGGTTAGGAAGAGTTGATAATCAGTTTAGAGATAATGTATTTAAATATTGTTTTTTCAAGTAGATGTCTTTATCTTTCTGTTCGCTATTGCTTACCCAGTAGTTAAGACTGGCTTCATTACTCTCTCAACCCACCTGGTTTAAGACACAAATTTCTTAAACTCCTTAGTTACAGAAACAATGCAAGGACTTATTCTAACAGGCACCATGACCACAGAGCAGTGCAAGGACCTTGTAATACAAATGTGAATCTTGAAGTCCTTAGGAAATAGGTAAGCTATTAGGCTTTAAGGCTGCAATAGCAGTGCAAGGACCTTGTTTTTGTGAGTTTTAGGCTCCAATGTTGCATTTGCAGTGTAAGGACCTTATGCTATTTAATATTTCGGCTCCGCGGCTGCATTTGCAGTGCAAGGACCGTTTTTACGTTAATTTTCTCTGTAGAGGTTAATATGCAATCACACACCTCACCACGATCGATTCTCATCATAGCTATGAAAATTCACAGAGAAACTCCTGAGTTTAGGTTTCTATTTTATTGCAACTAAATATGTAATTTAGTATAGTTTAGGTTTATTATAGCGAACCTATTCCCATATGTTATTTCGTCGTTTTATATATATTAATAAAGTATCTGATCGAGCAATAATAATATTAAAATAATTCCATGAATAATCCGTAAATATGCTACATTTATGGAAGAAATAAGGATATTGCTATTTAGTAATTTAAATGGAAAAAATATGGGATTTATACATAAAAAAATTATGGAAAACTAAAGTCGACATTTTTTATATGACTGATATTTATTTAATTGTATTTTTTAATCGTTATCAAAACTTTCTACCTTTACTGTATCTATGAATTTTTTTTAAGAAAAAACGACCTTTTCTATTTTACGACCATATTTGATCATTAATCATCCCATACATTATGATGGTTGCGTTTTTAAAAATAGGGACGGATAACCAGTCTCTGAGTTGCTTTGTCTCAATATTAAGTTTAGCTGCTGCTTGACTTTTGCTATAATCAATTTCATAAAATGTAATAATGACAATTTTTTCCCGTGCATTCCATTGTCACCACGCTTTCCATGTACCCTTACTAATTTATTTAAAAATAAATAACAAAATAAACTCTCTTGACTATTTCATGCAATTACTATATGATCCGAATCAATGTTATCGTTATATGATCAACCACATAATCAAAATTCTTTTCATAGTACCTCCCTTTCACAGAGTAC